CGTTGTTCCACCCCGATATACGACTTTCCGGCATCCAAATGGTGTAGGATGCTTTCATCTACGAGCTGCACATCCTCTCCGTAGTCCCCGCATCGTACTCTTCTGAGATGGACCATTGCACATTTGTCTATCCTGAATTTCATATCGATAGCGTGTACTCTTCCACTACCCTCAAGGACTGATGGATATCCTTATAAAGTTGAAGATCATCCATATAAAACAAATGGGTGACCTTGTGCCTACGGTTTCCGGGGGTGCCACAGTTATACCCTCGAGTATTTCTGAGCGCAACGGATAATGGGAATAGTGGGATGCAGAAGGGAAGGGAACTGAGGAAATCGCCCTGAAATACACCCCTTCTGAAAGTAACCCACCCTGTTTGGACTAATGCAGATGTTATGGTGAAGTGAATTTGTTAGTGTGGTATCAATTGTTCAATGCATCTCACTATTTTGTTGGGCACCGCAAGGCATCTGAGCAAATACTAGATGAGCTAATGCGATATTGTATCAAATGCCTTATAGTAATCAATTCAGACCATAGAGAGGTTACGCGTTACACATCTAACGATGAGCAGGTTCTTTTCACATCCGGCGACTCCTCTCTGCTCATATATCCGTACAATCACTTGTTCAGCTGCGGTGAGTATTCGTGAGTATAAGATGCTTGTAAACAACTTACAATACGAATTCAAGCATGTTATCGGTCTATAATTCTTAGGAATCGACAAATCTCAGCTTTTGTGGATGAGAAGGGTCCGTCCCTCGACCAACCAATATGGAATCGGCTGCTCACCGTCCAGCCATGAATTGAAACCTCTGGCCAGATGGCGGTGGGTGCTTGGTAGTTTTTCCACCAATAAGTGTTCAACCCATCTGGGCCTGGAGCAGCAAAGTTCTTGGAACCCACAAGGGCTCTTCGAACTGCATCCGAGGTTATCGAGTTGCGCAGTTCATTGAGCTCAGGCTGTCGAAGCTCTCTGTTGAAAGCTTCGAACTGCACTAGGGCTGGAGTTTCTAAGTTGAATGACTGCGGGTGTTCATAGATATCCTCCCAGAAGGATTCCACCTGA